TTCCTATAGCCCTGGCCTAGGGTTGTTATAGAGCCCCTACTCATAGATGACATCAATATTTTTCCCTGTGCAAAAATTTGAAGTGGGTGCCAAATTCTTTTCTACTCTAAATCCCTGCTTTCCCCTTTAGCACTACCTCTCTCATCTCTCCCTACAAATAACATCTCCTTTGGGTGAGATTAAAAGAAAAGAGACCTGATTAAATGCTGAAGAAATGCTGAAGTTTATACTGTAGGGCATTTCCTTAATATGTCAAGGAAGCAAAACCAATTGTAATGGAAAGAGATTTTGGTAGGGAGGTAGAAGATGTTTCAGTAAAAAAAAAAAAAATTACATAGTAAAAGGTCAGAACCTAACAAGACTAAACCTCAAAAAGTAGAAAGTGAAACATGGAAAGGCCAACTGAGCCAGCAGATTGTGGGAGAGCAGGGCTTTCGATAGGTCCTGCCTGCTGGATGATTTTAATAATTTTTAAAAACAACTTCAAAGTTACTATATTGAAGAAGCTTATTCATTGTCATTTATTTATTCTTTCGTTACTTCATGTGATTACTAGGTGTGTTGTTCCATAAAATTAGAATGGTCTATGGAAAGTTGAATTACTTTACAAACACATAACCACTTCTTAAGAAATGAAATCTGCTTTATCAAACTGGGATTTTTTTGACAAGCTTTTGTCAAGGTTAATTCCTGAATCTACTGAAGAAAGTGCTCCCCGAGCACACAGTACTGAATGTGGGAGAGCAGACTTCTAAGGACAAGGAAAGTGCTTGATGTTGTGAAAAATACATAGCAAATATGATTCCTGTGTATATTTTAACATTTTCATGTAATTAACCTGAAGTCTATCATTAGCAGAGGAACTGTTTTTAAATACAGTCGTCTGAATATTTTCAAAAATTTTATAGCCAACTTTTTAATAAGGTGATAACTTTTCATAGGTAAAGTAACTTTATTTTAAAATCTCTTTTCAACGCCAACTGAAATGATATTTTAAATAAAGAATGAAGAGGGCTTTTTCCCTGAATGAATAGGGCTTTGATTTAGTCCCATTTTACAGAAAAACAAAGCAAAGGGGAACCACCACTATCCACTGCTCAACAAGGAGTTCACCAGCTGTGTGGCCTTCCTCAGCTTGGGGTACTTGGGCTGGAAGGCCAAGACAGCACCAGAAACTAGCAACATTTATTCTACTGCTCAAAATGTCTGAGACAAATTGGCCTTCTGAGTATTTATGAAGATCTTTCTCAGAAAGGAGGGACAGTAGCTCTGAATTTCAACAGCTAATTGAATAATCCATCTTTAAATGGATACTGAGGAACAGGATGGAGAAACATGAAATATATTTTACCCTTGATCAGGGCAGCAATACTAATGGTGAGGTGGGGGCAGAATAGATAGCATAATTTTTGGAAAAAAAGTTCAGATTTTCTCATCTTAAGTTCCCACCTATATGTCTTAGTTAAAATATTTAGAAATGTATTTAAAATAACTGCAAACTACTGATGGATTAAATGTTAGAAAATATGATCAACTTTGGGCATGAATTTCGCAGAGAAATGGGAGCCCAAAAAAGCTAAAATTCAGAAGGCAAAGAAGGGAGAAGAAATCTGTTTTCCATTTCTGACTTTCAACTACTTCCATAATGAAACAATAAAAGTGAAGGACTCAATTGTGCACCCACCATGGTGCCCTTAAGCTTTCGAAGCGACTATGGGTCAGGCTTACTTGGAGGAGGCACAGAGAAAAAGACCAAAGGGCACCTGAAACTCTGCCCCTCTCAGCTAAAATAAGGAGATACTGGGATCTTACCATCCCTGCCCCTGGCTTTCCTTTTGCCCGGTATTCCACGGGGTGGAGGCAGGAGGTGGGGAGGTGGGGGAGTGGGGGGTGGGGTGGGGAAGAACTGCAAATAGAGCTCCAAAATTTGAATTGGTGGACTCTAGAATCTAGAGTTCAAATGTGGGAGGGAGGGATTGAGGGGATTCAAAAAGTAGCTACAGCAACTGCTTGTATTTTTCTGCTACCGTATTTTACTTTTCCATCCTCTATTTGAGTTGGCAAGTAGGAGCTGAGTTGACAGCAGGGTCTCTCTTTCAGTAGACATTGTGGCCTTCACTTACTTAGGGAAATAATAATAAATTGGCGTTTCCTATTAAAGGGCAATGACTTTGCTTTTAAAATGAAATCTCATGCCAATCAAATAAAAAGGAAATAGATAGTTTGGAGAATTAAGGACCCCAATCATTACCATGCCTGAGCCTTTTGTACACAGCATATGCTCTTAAGTTTTAGAAAATCCTTCACCATTATTCAAAATCTAAATCGGCATCATTAAAGCCAATTTATCTTTCTCTCCCTCTTTTCCTCTCATTTCAACAGTGGTGTGAGAGTTCAAATATTCGTCGTGAATAAAAAGCTCTGGAAATCAGCTAATGTGCCAACACCGGGAACATATCCAGGCCCATGGTGCGAAAATGAAGTATGTGCTGTTGAATTATTATTTTTGTCCTTTAGGTTTACATCTACACCCTTGTATTATGTAAATTTCTGAGAAGCTGTGAATCACAAGGTTAGGTAAAGGAGGATCCCCGCCCAATCCCCTCAACTCTCCCCCATCCCCATTCGTCTTCGAAAGCAACAGGAGCCGACCTCATTTAATCTTTGAATGATTCTCAGCCTCGTTCCTTTCTTTTTCCGGCTTTTTACCTCAGACCCAACTTCCCTTCCCAACCTCGGCCAGAGGCGCTGGCAGGGGCCAGAGGCGGCGGCTGCAGCCCCGGGGGCCGCAGCTGGCCGCGGTCGTGACGTCATCCGCTCGGCCCCTCGGGTCACCGCGGCCGCGGGACGCAGTTCGCGAGTTGCCTGCGCCAACACCCGCGCAGAGCGCTTAACGCTTCGCGTTGTTTCCAGGAGCCTTTTCCTCTGTGTGGGACTGCGGAGAAACTATGAGGGCAGCCCCACTGTACGTGAAATTCAAAGAATCAATTGAACTTGAATTAAGAGGAGATAGTGGGGAGGGAGGGAGAGAGAGAGAGAGAGAGAGAGAGAGAGAGAGACCCTTCCAAATTAATTTAAAGCGAGAAGACAATAACATTTAAAACGCTAATAAGATTCCTTAATGATGGATCAAGCCTCTTCTTGGAGTTTTCTCGGAGTGGATCTTAGAGCTCAACTCTTGAAACGTGCACAAGGCGTGTAGAATCTGGTCTAAGAGAGGCCTAAGGGCGCGAAGGGAGGAAACAGAACAGCATCCACTTCCACCAAGAAAGGGGGGCCTGCTAGTGGCTGTTTCCTCTTTTTCAGAGGCTGTGGAGGCCGTCAGGAGGTGGCCACGGGGTATCGCCCTCTTTGGACAGCCATGAAATCTTCTCTTTTCGAGGAGATGCAGGGCTTAACTAGGAGAACTCAAGAATAAAAAGACAAATTGCAGAGTAAAGCCACAGAAGGAAAAGTAGGCCTTTCTGTTAAGGTCTTAAAACAGGAGAATCTAGTTAGAAAATTCTCTTTGCTCTGAGACCATCAAGAGACTCTACTCTTAAGCACAGACCAAACGGCTTCAAAGGGAGGATGCTCAGAGGAAGGAGGTCGACTAAAAAATACATGAAAGGTTTTTGGAAGAGATACTCAGAGCTGCTCCCGAGACATTCTTAAAATTTGATTTAACAATGTGTTTTCCGGGAAACTGAAAATGACAGGCAAACCTACTAAAAAGATGCTCTAGTTCCTTCTTAGGTATGCCACACCCCCGGGCCTGTTTTCTTTCACCTTGCATCTAGATTAAATGACCCTTCAATTACACCCTCAGTCGTCAAAGCCAGTGTGTTAGCGAATGCCTGTTCAAAAACTTTTCATCCAGGAGCTCTCCACCATCTGTTACGCGGTCTCTTAAACCGGATCCGGCGCCCCCTCCCTTGCTATCTCCGAGCCTTGGCGGGGGATGGAGCCGCCCCAGGACCTGCGGGGATGCAGAAGAGAAGGGGAGGAGCGTGATCGCGCCGGGGATGGGTTTCGGGGCCGGCCAGGGCCGTGGTGGTCCACAGGCCCGAGGTTGGCGGGACCTGATCGAAGGCAGCGCCGCGCCTACGGGCTCCGGGAGCCGGACGCTTGGGAGACCAAGTCCGGCCGCGGCGCCCGGTCGCTGAACTTGAGCCCCACCTCCCAGCCGTCTCCAAGCCTCTCGAGCCACAGCTCCTGGCCCCTCCGAGGCAGTCTCACTGACCTCGGTGGCCCTCGGCCTTGCCAACGTCATTTTAACTGTTTGGAACTCTTGAGCAAGAACCGAGAAATGGAGAGCCCGGCCGGGGAGTTTTCAGCTTTTCTGTTTCTCTTTGGGCTTCTATTCAAATGGCTCTGCGCAGGGCACCGAATCCCGCATGAGGCGGGGCGCCTCTGCCCCTACGCCAGCGGCGGGAACTCGGTTCCCCTGGGCAGCCGGGGCCAGGGGGCACCGAGGCCGCGGCGACAATGAAGGCTCAGACGGCCAAGGCCAGTGGGTCGGCGCTGGGCGCTCCCGGGCCGGAGTGGCCACCGGCCGGAGTTCAGGAGGTAATTGAATTAATAAGCGGTTCTTAGAGATTTCTGGGTAGAGGATTTTTTTATTTATCTCTATTGCTTCTCCATTTCTCTAATCTCGTCCTCTGTTCTGTGTTATTTGAATTTCTATTATCGACTTATTTCATGGGATCACTTAAGAAAGTTTGAAAATAACATCAAAACTGCTTTAAACCTCGTGGGTAGTGTGAAGGAAAGAGCCGAACTGTGTCTTGAATATGACTGTTTTGTGGGTTGTTTTTTTTTTTTTAATTTTGACTACAAACACAAAATGTCTTTAAAATCCTCTAGGAACTGCTGCAAAACGCTAATCAACCAATTGCAGGAAAACAGCTTTTTCTATCATTGGAGGCAAGTGTTTCAGTGTAGAGCAATAGAGCATGTTTGTGCTGTCTTCTAAATGTTCACCTTCCAGATTTCAGTAACACCCTTGTAAGTGACAAGCAAAACTTTGCTGGATGTTGTTGCTGCACAGAAAAGGTTGGAGAAACTGGGTGACTCGGCTTATAAACTTCTTTTTTCATCAGGTCCAGCCCTGAGTCATAGCCTCTCAATCTGGAGGGACACACCTCACAGGCCTGTGGAAATGGGTGAGAAAAATCTCAGCATTAGTGGAGGGTTAGAAACGAACTGAGCCCAAGTGATCGCTGTCTGTATTGCCTGCCGCCTCATTAACAGCTCTCGCTTTTGAGCTCTTCATTTTCTTTCACAAACTGATTTGCTATGTAAATTCTGTTTTGAGAGAAATAATTTCGCTGAGTTTAAAGGAAATCCTAATATAAAAGAAATAGTAACAACAAAGGTCTAGAGGCAAACAACAACCCTCCCTCCCACTTCTTTCCCAAAAGAGAGGAGGGCTCTGTGAGTTAACCGACGCTTCCCACACTAATAACCTGTAATAGTGTCCTTCACAGGCTTTAGGAAATTAGCAAGAATTCTTTATTTGCTACCAAACTAACTAAAAGCACATTGGTAGCCTTAAATTTGAACTTGTTGCAAATATGTTTGCTAATATGCTGGAAAGTTAGTTCCCGTCACAGAGTGAGTAATCTGAGGCACTCAAAAACTCTCCCCTTGAACCTATAGACCCTTGCTATTTGTGTCTCTCCCATCACCCTCCCTCCATCACACACCAAAAGAAATAACAAAAGACCTTCCAGAGATAAAGACTATGAATAGAAAATGTAGAGGAATTTAAAAATGTGTTTTTCCTTCTAGAAGTACAGTACTTTGCCTTTGGTGCTGTGTATTAACAGGAAAAAATGTAGATGTGCTTGAACATCAGGACTGGGGTAGGGGGTGATGTCAGAATAACAATAATGCCTTCGTCTCCCCTCCCCACAAGCTAAAGCAAAGAGAAAGCAGACTGTTGTTCTTGGTGAAGCGGCTGGGGGTCAGAGATTTTGGACAGGCTTGAAAACTCTAAAAACATGATCAGGGACAAGTCCATGAACTAGGCAGAAGGTGGAATTAGTTATAATATTTTCCAATTCATTTTTAATTAGAAAAATTCAATAGTATTTTGTGACATATCAAGGAAGAAGAGATTAGAGATTATAGCTTATTTGGTAATGTATGGCTCTATTATCTCATTACCCTTTATTTTGAATGGCAGTAACCACAGCCAGAAACTGCATTCGCTTGCGATAGGAACTTCAGCAAAAAGCTTGTGAAAATTACTCGTATTTTTTAGTGATAGAAAGAACCCTGCTTAAAAAGTATTGAAGTCAAAATTAGATTCCTTAGAAAAAGTTAATTTTAAATTATTTTAGAAGAGTAGCACCTTTTTCTTATTTTTAAAATATATCTTAATCCAGAGTTTGTTTTCTGGCCTTGTTATATCATGAACTGTTGTGATTTCCTCGGAATATTTCATAGAGGACAAACCATACACTTAAACTCATTTTCCCTCAGGATTTGAGGTTATAAATACTGCCTTTCCATGGATGGAAAGTGGAGGCACACTTAATCATCAGCTCTCAACAAAAAAAGGGGATTATAGGATTCTCGAAGAAAATCCAAAGAAACTATAAGAGTTTCTATTTTGCCATTAACAAAACAAACAAGGCTCCTTTGCATTCTTTTTAGTAAATTAAAAAATACTTGTGTTGAACTGTTTTGAAAGCTTCCTAATTTGCTGAAGTTACTCTACTTTTATTGCCTTTTCTGTAATTTTCAGATATATTTTGGAAATAAAGTACTGGACAGATTGGACAGTAAGATAGAAAACCTTTCTGAGTACATTTTGTGTTTTAAGACAATTCTTATTTAATATAGTATTACTAATTAACACGTGTTTGTAGTTTGGTTTTGAATTGAAAAATTAACAAATGTTGGATATCAAGGCCGGGAGTTGCAAAGCACCTTTTCAGTCTTTAGATTAGTAAACTCAAGGCTGTCTTAAAGGAAGAGCATAACTGATGCTTTGCCATATTTGTGTTAACTCAAATGACCATTTTCAAACACTTGCCAAAAGGGCGAATCCTGAAAAGACCAGTGAAAAGCAAACGGTTGAAATATAAACTATCCAAAGCATGCATACCTCTTAGCAAATTTTTTTTTTTCCTTTTTAGTTTGGTATACCACAAAGGAGAAATTTACAGAGGTCAAATAAAAGCTCTTTTGCAGTTAAGGAGAGGGGAGGAGGAAAAGAAGGGGAGAGGGAGGGACACACCGTAAACGTAAAACAAACTGGTGGCATTCAGTCAAGAAGGCAGGTAAGGCTTCAAAGGCCGGCGAATTGTGGACAAGTCATCTGGACTCTCCAAAGCCGTTCGGAGCCGGGCTGTTTCGCGCTTCTTTGCTTTTTCCTTTCAACCTAGCCCTTTGACGGAGGAGGGCAGCAGGAGGGGAATTTTCGCTGTTGGGAAGTGGCAGGTAGGAAAAGGAATCTGATCCGGCCCAAAAGTCAGCAATTAAAGTCTTAACTGCGACCCATCTGTCGTGGGACAGAGACCTCCCCACACCCACTTTGCTCCAGCAAAGCCCGTCCCGCGCCCTTTGTCTGAGCAGGGAAAAGGAGGAGACTGGTTCTGGGGCCCCAACAGCAAAAGAAAAGAAATTTTCCAGTGTTGACCGATTCTGAGTGTCTGCGCTTGGGCCAAAGACAACTCCGAAGCGCCTCTTGGGGGTGTGACGATTCTTCGCTTGCTCTGTGTGGGTGCTCTGACCTGCGGCCCCAGCAAAAGGAAAGAAAATGTGCAGCCTGGGCGAATCCCCAGTAGCTGCACGCAGACCAAGGACTGCTCCAAAGCGCCACCCTGGAGTGTAGCACCTCTTTGCCTGCTCCGGCCGAGTGCTCTGCGATCGCCTCCTACCCTTCTCTGCTGCCTCAGTTGTCCCATCCTGTAGCAACCTCGAGACCTGAAACGAGGCACTCCTAGGCCTAGCTGCAGAGACCAGACATATTCAGCCAGACTTCTCCCCCATCTTGCCCCTTGGCTGTCCTCAACTTCCAACAGGACTCAGTCCTCCTCCCCCATTTCTTCATCCTTTGAATTTTCCCGCCACCCATCCAGCTGCCGCTGCCTTTCCGTTAGACTTCAGGCGCGTTCCCAGCACAAGCTCTCTTCATTTCCACCCCTCTTGGCTCTAGGGGCAGAGGGGGAACTGATTTTCGCAGAAAGCTAGAGTGGGACGGAGGGGCCCGGGTGGCTTGCCTGGCATTAGCTGAGAATGGGGTAGAGAAGAAGGAATACTTTGAGGTCAGTTTCCTTCATTAAAGGCCTAGCTTCGTATCTTTGAGTGAAATTGGACAGAGACTTAATCCTAGAGTTTCTAGTCCGCCGTTATCCAGCCTTACGCCGTCAACTCTTTTCAGGGTTCTTACAGAAGAGCGCCCACACTACACTTGGCCCAATACCTGACACCCGCCACCATCTGTTCCACACCCACTTGAGGTTAACTCACCAGGCAGATGGCACCCTGAGCTGCTACTGTCGGCCCCTCACCTCAGGGTCCAGGCCCCACCGCCCTTTGCTTGCAGCTCTGCGCTCTCCCTTTGCCTCCTCACGCCGGCTCACAGCTGCCGCGTCTTGCAACTCTGTGCAGCCCTCCGTGCGCGCCTAGCTCCGGAATCCAGCTCTGGGTGATCGCAGGCTGGCAAGGGACTGCGCCGGGGAAGGTGCGCGCCGCAGCTTCCCGCGCGCTCCTGTAAGAGCTTGTCTGGGCGGCGGGAACCCGCACGGTCGGAGCAGCAGCCACAGAAGTCTTCCCTGAAACCTCCACCAGCACCGTCGCGCCGCCCCAGGAGTTTGGGCCGAGGCGCCACACCCGGCGGGTGCTCGGCTGGGGGGCATTGCAGTGGAAACTGTCTCTAGGCGCGCTCTTTGCGAGGCGCAAGGGTACCTGTGGACACAACTCCAGCGCCGGCAGCTCTCCTTGTTGCGCACAGACACCTAGGCTGCCGCCTGCGCTGCTTCGAGGAGACTCGTAGAGGTCGGCAGCCGGGTGGGAACTAATAAATTGTTTCCCTTCTCCGCTCGGCATTCAGTATTTAAAATGCTCCGGGAGAGCTCTAGCTGAGAGCAGGTACTTAAGAAAGAAATGCTCTTTCCAGACTCTCAATGGAAACTCGGAAGCGTGCGCGCGCGCGCGTTTGTGTGTATCCTGGGTGGGGTCCGATCGAGTCAAGGTTTCTTGTGGTGTGACACCCGATTATTCCTTCCAACTCCTTAACTTTGTGGTTGGAAGTGCGACTTTCCCAGGCCTATTGCCACGGGCATTGCCTTTACAAAACCACAAACACATAACAAGCCTCCCAAGGCTTTTAATTCTCAGGGGCGTTTTGGAAGGCCAGTTACCTGCTGACGTCTTCTAAATGGTCCAGACTCGGTTCGGGCCGCGGAGACTCCGGGATTCCGGGAGCGCGCCACCCCGAGCCCTGGAGGAAGAAGGAGGTCTGCGAAGGAGGTGGCACAGACACTACCCCGGCCCAGCCCGGCCCAGCCAGGCCCGGCGGAACCAACCAGCGAAATCTCGGATTTCGCTGCCAAAGCTTCCTGGCCGAGGCTTTCTGGAGCTTGGCGTTTGATAAATATAGCCTGGCGTTTGCCCCTGAATTAGACTCCGTTTCCTTATTTAGCCCTTGCACAATGATTTTAGATGATGTCACTTAAAGCTAAACGAGAAAATTGATCTCAGATTTGCTTGGCCTCTAAAGCCTGGTTAAGCAGATTGAGAATTAGAAAGACAGAGGAGGGGAGGGGGGGGGGGGGGGGGGCGGAGGGTAGTGAAGTGTGCGCGGCAGAGTGTGTGCGCGGAGGGGAGGGCGCGCCACGCGGGTGAAAGCGCCCCCGCCTCTTCTGGGCGGGGAACCTCACTCACCAATGAAAAGTAGTTACTGACTGCAGCGGAAAAAAAAAGTTTTCCTGTTGACTGTTGGAAGCGAATTGAACAATTATCTAGTTTACCTTCTCCTCTTGGAAGTTAACGATTGGCGAGATCTTGGCTGCGTTATTGACACAACACTTTCTATTGATAGAAATAAGTAGTGATTGTCCCCGAGTCATTGGTGCGCCAAGAACTCTGCGATGGGCTGGCAGGAGTCCATTGGGCTGGGCAGGCAGGTTCGGCTGGTGATGCTGGGGAGGAGGAGGAGGAGGAGGCTACTGGTGGTGATGGTGCCCGTCCCCCTCTCCGCAGGTCTGTGACAAGCAGGGAACCAGGCGACTGACGGCGCAGCCCAGCCCCGGCTGACGGACGCTGGAGACTCAGACATGGACAGTAGCTGCCACAACGCGACTACCAAAATGTTAGCGACTGCTCCAGCCCGGGGCAACATGATGAGCACGTCCAAACCCTTGGCTTTCTCCATTGAACGAATCATGGCGCGCACCCCTGAGCCCAAGGCCCTGCCAGTCCCTCACTTCCTGCAGGGAGCCTTACCCAAGGGGGAACCCAAGCACTCTCTGCATCTCAACTCGTCGATCCCCTGCATGATCCCCTTCGTGCCTGTGGCGTACGACACGAGCCCCAAGGCAGGAGTGACGGGCTCCGAGCCGCGGAAGGAGAGTCTGGAGGCCCCGGCGGCGCCCGCTGCTGTGCCCTCGGCGCCGGCATTCAGCTGCAGCGACCTGCTTAACTGCGCACTGAGTCTCAAGAGCGACCTGGCCCGCGACGCGCTGCCGCTGCAGCAGTACAAGCTGGTAAGGCCGCGTGTGGTCAACCACTCTTCATTCCACGCTATGGGCGCCTTGTGCTACCTGAACCGAGGTGACGACCCGTGCCACCCGGCAGCCGGCGTGAACATCCACCCGGTGGCCTCCTACTTCCTCAGTTCCCCTTTGCACCCGCAGCCAAAAACGTATTTAGCCGAAAGGAATAAACTGGTGGTCCCGGCAGTGGAGAAATATCCTTCAGGAGTAGCTTTCAAAGACCTGTCTCAGGCTCAGCTGCAGCATTACATGAAAGAAAGCGCCCAGCTTCTGTCGGAAAAAATCGCTTTCAAAACCTCGGACTTCAGCCGAGGCTCTCCTAATGCCAAGCCCAAAGTTTTCACTTGCGAAGTGTGTGGAAAGGCAAGTACTATGCAAAACGGCGATCCTTTCCCTCCCTCCCTTCCTTCTTTCTCTCCTTCCTTCCTTTCTTCCTTCCCTCCTTTCTTCTTCCTTCCCTTTTTTCCCCTCCTCCTTTCCTTCCTCCCTTTTTAGTATTTGTGGGGTAATTATTTGTATACACTTTTGGTAAGGTTCTCTTCCTCCTGCCCTCCCTCTGCCCGGCTTGATTTCAAAGGTACTTGATCAGCTAACCTGTTCTATGTGTGTTTAATTTTAAGGTCTTTAATGCGCACTACAACTTAACCCGTCATATGCCAGTGCACACAGGAGCCAGACCCTTCGTTTGCAAAGTGTGCGGAAAAGGTTTCAGGCAAGCAAGCACCCTGTGCAGGCACAAGATCATTCACACGCAGGTGTGTTCCTACGTCTTAATTCCACCTAGTTTGCTTCGGAACTGTTTGCAGAAAACAGCCGATAAAGCCTTACTCTTTAGGATAAGGTTCGTTTAAAACGTGCTAGCTGAACAGGGTGAATGCCATGTATTGTTTGCCTTTGTTCTGCTTTAAAGTATTTAAGCAATACTGTGTTTTGAGTTTGCAGAACTTCACATAATAAGAAAATAACCTTAACGTCTCTGCTTTTCCTTCCTCCTGCTTAGGAAAAACCTCACAAATGTAACCAGTGTGGCAAAGCATTTAATAGAAGTTCCACTTTAAACACACATACCCGAATACACGCGGGCTACAAACCATTTGTGTGTGAATTCTGTGGCAAAGGATTTCATCAAAAAGGTAGGGAAAACAGGAAATGTTGTGTCTCATGGTTAGCCTTATGAAAAGCCATAGTTAATCTTTTTGGGATGTTTTAGAAGACAATGTTTAAAGTGTAGTTATGTGGCGCATTTGTTGCTATTCTAACCCCCTACCAGAAGTTTGTTTAGTATCAGAGAAAGACATAGTTCATAAAACAAGGTATTTTTTTAACCGCATGTTCTCATTCTATATAATTGGACTGATAAATATGTATTAAGATTTAAAGGAAATGGCATCGCTGTTGATGCGATGTTTGAAAATAAACTTGGAGAGACAAGTGCAGGCACGGATAGCAGCCCTGCACTGGCTGTGGAACCTGTGGCGGCTCTTCTGTTTGTCTGGCGCAACCTTCGACGTGTCCTCCCTTGTTAAGGCCTTTTTTTTTTTTTCAGAACCACATCCCTGTCATTTGTCTGTTTCAGGGAATTACAAAAACCACAAGTTGACCCACAGCGGGGAGAAGCAGTTCAAGTGCAATATCTGCAACAAGGCTTTCCACCAGGTTTACAACCTCACCTTCCACATGCACACCCACAACGACAAGAAGCCTTTCACCTGCCCCACGTGCGGCAAGGGTTTCTGCAGGAACTTTGACCTCAAGAAGCACGTCCGCAAGCTGCACGACAGCAGCCTGGGGCTGGCCCGCACGCCCGCTGGCGAACCAGGCACAGAACCGCTGCCCCCGCTACAGCAGCAGCCGCCCGTGACGCTGCCTCCTCTGCAGCAGCCGCTGCCACCGCCGGGGCCCCTGCAGCCCGGGCTCCACCAGGTCCACCAGTGATCGAGGCCAAGATTCCTCCCAGCCTCAGCCGGGGCCCCCACCGCTGAGGCAGCGGCAGACTAGAGCTCCTGATCTGAGTTCGTCTCCAGACCCCAGGGCTTGTTGGGTCCCACACTTTAGGCCCGACCGGAAGCCTCTACATCCCCTGGCCTTTCGCCTCTTGCATGCACCTGCTAAATGGTTTTGTGTATTATATTCTATATAGGCACTAACAATTATGAAAAATTTGGAGGGTTTTGTTTCTATTTTTCTTTTCTTCTTTTAATTTGGAAAGGCTTTTCATCTTGGGTGGAGAGATGGTGTTTGTTTTGTTTTGTTTAAACAAATTTCTGCTATATTTATTGAGATCTGTATTATTCTACCCGGGAATGCTGCATCGTTTTAATTTTATTATTGTATATATTTCCACTGTGCTGGTTCTCCGGCCTCAAGATATCTGCTGGTTGTTTATTATCATTTCCTCCTTCCCTGAAGTAACAAAACACTGTGTGTATGTCATATATACACGCATAGATGTGTGCGCCCATAAGGGTACATTCCACATTCGTGAGCACACACACATACACATTAGATAAGGGTGGTTCATTATGATGATTTCGAATTTTACTTTTGATTATTGCACGTGAAAATTGATTCGTTGACTGTTGGAAATAAATACTTGGAACATGCTTATTTAATCAACAAACTTTAGGGTTCTGTTTTTACAGCTAAAAATCCCTGACTCTGACCCCCTGATTAGTCCTCCTTTTTAAAATCTAAAACCTGAATTAGTAACAATGTTTTGGTCTGAAAATCCATCAAGTGCAGACTCTTCTAAATGGTTACACCTTTGGATACAGTTATGAAATCTGGTAAAGTTCAGAAGCAGAAGACATGGAGTTTTCTGACAAACATAAATTTGGCTTGGACCACCTTGTAGTGCACAGTTAAATGGGAACAACATATCCAATAGCTGCGTGCAATGTACATCTCCTCAAATGTGTTACAATCATAGATAGACAGGTATCTATTGTTTGCATCCTGAAGGCACATACTGACTTGTACACAGCTGGCAAAGGGAGCCTCCGTGTTTTTACATGTGTATATATGTTTATAAACGAATATACTTCCATTCAAGGAGGAAACATGGCCGAAAACCAAACTGTGGCTGGTGCCAGGTCCTTGAAATTCTTCAAGTGTTAATCAGCGGCTCCGCTGTGAGCTCGGGCTCTGGTGTTTCTAACTGCAAGTCTCTCCTGTTTTCTTGCCAAAACAGTGAAACAACTGCTAAAGACTTTAATTAAGAGGGGTAATTAGTTCAGATTTATCAAAGCCGGGTTGTTATACTATTAGCTGCTCAGTAGAAGCTGCCAGACGAACTCACAGCCCAGCACAGTCGTGCTACTGCGGAGGGGCCACATCATGGGAGTGCGATTCAGGGGAGCGGACCCCGGGGTCCCCCTGTCGCCGCCGCGGTCTCCATCACCCAGTCAGGCCCGGGGCCAGTGCGGCCAGCCTGTAGGCCTCGGGGGTGCATCTCGGCCCCCCCCCCCCACCCCGGCCCACGCGCTCCCTCCAGGGCTGTGGTCAGCCGAGAATCCGCCGTCTGTCCACACCGTGGACCCAGGTTCTACAGAATCCAAGGATCTCCCTTCTGCACCCACTGTAGGGCAGCCTCGCCAGCTCCCTGACTGCCCCGACAATTGCGGGGAATAAACTTAAATGTGCGGCGCTGCCTTATTTCTACGCGTCCTGCTGCGCCCAGAAAAAGGCGGTGCCGAGCGGTGAGACCAAGAGCGGAGCTGTGCAGCGGACACTGGGCGGGGGGCGGTGGGGAGGACGGCGGCGGCGGCCACCCGAACTCTCATTTCATGGCGGGGAAAGACTGACGGCTCTGGTCACCAAGAGTGGGTGGTCTGAGTGCTTTTCGATAGCCTAGGAAGCAAGGAGATGACGAACAGCCCCAGTGGGGTGATCGCGTGCGGGCGGGTGAGCGGGCCCCGCGGGGACCCCCACCCCACGTTTGGCCTGAGCCCCTTATGGGTTGTGGGGAGCGGGTATGGGAATCTAGAGAGCATGGACCTGGTGTGGGCTGGCAAGGTCCCCAGAACAGGGAAGTCCTGACACTTCCTGCAGGCGTCTGGTCCAGAACTTTCTCAACGCTTGTGCCAGGACGCA